CCCCGGTACGGACCTGGGACGGCCCCAATACGGCCCCAGGGCGGCCCCGTGACGGCCCCAATACGGCTTTGTTGGGGACCGCTTATCCTGTTGGGCCTTGATTTTCTCGGGGTTAGCTTCAATCCCCAGTTGCTGACCATAAAGCCGAGGAATTTTCCCGACCCAACTCCAAAGGCGCACTTTTGAGGATTGAGTTTCATGTGGTATTTTCTTAGCACACCAAACATTTCCCCTAGGTGATTGACGTGATGACTGGCCCTGGTACTTTTTACTAGCATATCGTCAACATAAACCTCCATTGTTTTGCCGAGCTGTTGAGCAAACATTTTATTCACAAGCCTCTGGTAGGTAGCCCCTGCATTTTTTAGGCTGAAAGGCATTACTTTGTTGCAGTAGAGGCCCTTGTCGGTTATGAAGGATGTGTTCTCCTCGTCGGTTGAATGCATGGAGATCTGGTTGTATCCGGAGTAAGCGTCCATAAAGTTCAGCATCTCATGTCCCACCGTGGCGTTGACCATCTGGTCTATGTGAGGGAGTGGAAAGCCATCCTTTGGGCAGGCTTTATTGAGATCGTTGAAGTCAACGCATGTCCTCCAATTCCCGTTTGGCTTGATCACTAGAACGGGGTTTGATACCCAACGAGGATAATGGGACTCCCTGATGAACCCATTTTTGATCAGCTTGTCGACCTCTTCTTTCAGCACCTCATACCTCTCGGGGTTCATCAGCCGACATTTTTGTCATTTGGGTGGATATGAGGGGTCGACGTTTAGGGAGTGACACATTACCTCGGCGTCGATCCCTTCCATGTCAGAATGATTCCTGGCGAAGACATCTAGGTTCTCCCTGAGGAAGTTTTCGATCTCATTTTTAAGTGATGGGGTAAGCCTGAGCCCACTTTTAGCACTCTGGTGGACTCGCCTTCACCAACTTGGATTTCCACCAACTGCTCAACAGGTTGAGACCATGTGACTTCCTCTTGGATCTGGGGATCTATATCCTCGACAAGGCCTTGGTGAACCACCCTTGTCTCCTATCTTCCTGGTTGGTCATATCTGCGTAGGGCGTCAGAGTACACAATCCTTGCTTCATACTGGTTGCTCTTCATTTCCCCTACACCATTTGGATGGGGAACTTGACCTTTTAGTGGTAGACGGAGGTTATTGCTCTTAACGCTTGGAGGGTTGGCCTCCCGATTACCGTGTTGTACTGGGAGCTTCCTTTTATGATCACGAAATTGGCCATTGTGGTTACCTGTCGAAGTTTCTCTCTGGCGGTTATGGGTAGCCGGATGGTCCCTTGGGGGAGGACGGAGTCGCCTATGAAACCATATAGCGGCCTGGAGGTTTTCTCCAATTGCTCCTTTTGGATCCCCATTTTCTCCAAGCAATCGGAGTATAGGAGGTCCACCGAGCTCCCATTGTCCACCAGGATTTTGCACACAGTGTGGTTTCCTATCATGGCTTCCACCACCAAGGCATCGTTGTGGGGAAAATAAACCCTACTAGCGTCATCCTCGTTAGAAGCCACATCGGTGTGGCTGTACCTTGGGATCTTTGTAGCGGAGACGCTCCAGAATCGCTCCTAATAAACCCCCTGGCCTCGTGGGCGTAGTCCTTCTGAGACCTCCTTGAGTCTCCTCCTATATAGGGACCACCGAAGACAGTCCTTATGACACCGACGGGTTCGCGATCCTCTGGGCGCTGGTTTTCCTCTCGGCGTCGACCGTCATTCTGCCCACCATGGCCGTCATTTCGGGGTCTTCGCTCGGCCCTGAATTCTTGTAACCTTCCTTCGCGGATCACTCTTTCGATTTTGTCCTTGAGGTCGGCACAATCTTTGGTGTGGTGGCCGACATCGCCGTGGAACCTACAGAATTTCTTCTGATTCCTTCGGCAGGGATCTGACTTCATTGCTTCTGGTCGGCGCAGCAAGTTCCCGCGGCTGACCTGGTTGAAGACCTTCTCGACTCCTACCGTTAACTCATGGTAGGAATCGTACTTTTGGAACAGTCGAGGCTTACGGGTATCCTCTTGTCTCGGCTTTTTGGCTTCCAGAGCGTTCGTCATTGCGGCGGGCTGCTTGTCTCCGTTTCCTCTGCCTCAATGCTTCTTCCCATCCTGCTTCGCAGGCGCCGACCCTTGTTCGGTTCCTTTATTCTTGTTGGTCCGGTGCTCGGGGTCGTTCGCGTCCGCCTCTTCAGCGTTGATGTACCCCTGCGCTCGCGCCAAAAATTCCCTATAGCTGGTCGGAGGTTTTCGGTTTAGCTCTCTTTTGAACGGGGTAATTTTCTTCATGCTAGATAAGGCCCCCATCAAGGCTTCTCTATTTGTTATGTCCATCGTGGCGGCGACAACTTCCCCATACCTTGCGAGCCATTCCCTCAGTGACTCGTTTGGCTTTTGGTATATCATCGTCAGATTCTGCTTTGGGGGGACGTTCTTTTTGACCCCTATGAATTGGAGGGAAAACGCTTCCTTCAACTCGTCCCAGCCCGAGATAGAGTTTGGCCTCAACTTTCGGAACCACCTCCAGGCTGAATTCGTCAAATGGTTTCGAAAGGCTCGGCACATGATCTCCTCGGCGTAACCGTGTAAGAGCATGTGCCCAGTGTACATCTCCAGATGGTCGTCGGGATCTCCTCGCCCATCATATGGCGGGATTGACGGCGACCTGTATTTATCGGGGAGAGGGGGCGCCATTATTTCTTCGGTAAATGGATGGTCATGTGTGCGATTGGGCGTGATATCGACATTTACCACCTCAACCACACGACCTATATTCTTTTTTAGGCCCACCACATCCCCTGTCAGTTTTTGCTCCAGGCTGGCCATACGTTCCATGATGGCGCGTGCTTCCTCTGTCGAAATGGCCGAGCTGGCTACTCTTGATGCTTCTGCCCTCTGAACGTTGGGTTCGCCTCGGGCCTGGCCGCCTGCCTGCACTGAGCCTGAGTCTCCTGGCGGGTTTCCACCTGGATTCTGAGATAGTATCTCGGGGTTTCCTGGGCCTCTTGGTACCCGGTCCTCGGGAGCTCGGAGTCTGGTGGCCCCTAAACGGCTGCCGGGGGATTGGGAAGGCCGAGGCCTAGGATGGCCCCGGCGATTCTCACTATCTCCGGTTCTTTCTTGGATAGGTGGGTAGTCGCCGCGGTTTGGATCTCCGGCCACGGCGGGTCCCTGCGGCATCGGGGCATCTTCTAATGGCAGCATGAAGTTCCTTCCATCTAAGCGCTCCACCACAGTCATTAGCCCACGTACCAGCTCGGTTAGAGTGGTCAGTTGGGCCTGCATCTGCATCGGATCTGGCCGTGGCGCGTCTGGAGGTGGAACTTCGTTTCCGTCCGGGCGTAGATCTCCTTCCATCCCGATATTCCCTGGATGGGCGGCGGTTTATCACTATGTTGTTGGGGGTCGAACGCTTTCGGTCCCCAGTGGAGTCGCCAATTGTTGACGGTCAAATTTCGCCAACAAAAAACTGACCGGATTACCTCTTGGTTTCCCCTCGGATTACCGGCCGTGTGAGTGTAGTTTAACGTATCAGGAATTGATGGATATGAGTGTGCGTGTATTTACTAAATCTCGCATATATAAATGACGCAAGGAAATTTTATAGTAGTTCACTCTATGAAGTTTTGAGCTACATCCATTGTAATCTTGTATTTCTCTGTTTTTGGGTAAATTACAATTTACAATAATTGTTCTCAGATAGAGTTTTTTGAACCCCCTCGCTTGCTGGGGGTCTTTCCCTTTTTATATTGGGCTTCCTTCGCTCAGGGGGTTTCCTTCACAGCTAGAAGCACTCAAGTGCCCTCCTTCGGTAGGCCTAGACGTAGCCCACTAATTAGCACTGTTCACTCAGCTAATTAGTCTTCTATTACGGCTCTGTGCTTCTCCGTAATACTTTCCTGTCCTCTGTGGGAGCGGTCTGATAGCTCACAATTAATGCTTGCAGACCACCTCCACTTCTGCACGTAACCCGTTACGTCCTCTAAAGGACGTTCCCCTCGTCATCAGCACCGTCTTAGCCCAACCGCCTTCTTCGATGGCCCTTTCTGCGGTCGAGAGATCTTCATCCTTTAGCGTCGACGGCGCAATCGGTCGACGCCATAAAGGATCGTCGCCCTAACTTGGACTTCGTCCTTGGGCCTTCGCAGCAGAATAGGAGGAGTCTGCAAGCGTCGAGGGTTCCTTGCTTGGTGGGGATTAATTAAGGCCACGTGTCGCGATATACTTTGTCCACGCGTCCGTCACATTTTCCCACACAATAATATAATATTATAATTATAATATGATATTATAATTATTATTTTATAATATATTGTATTGATATAATTGTATTTATTATATTAATTATATTACAATAATATTATTATATTATATTATATTGATATAATTATATTGATAATAATTAATATAATTAAATATTAATATAATCTTATAATTATAATATTATTATATATTATAGTGTATTACATTATGGTTATATAATGTATTAATTATAATATAATATAATAATGATTATATAATATAATATAATACAATATAATATAATTGTAATTTTTTATTATATTATAACTGATATTT